ATTTTTGTATGTATTTTTGGAACATTGTTTTGTCAATGACTATACATTCCGATTATTATTACGTTATAAATTCGGATGAATTCGCGATTGACTATTAATATTCCACTAGGTATAAATTGATGTGTTTTCACAAACATAATAAAAAAATTATGAAAAATTTTCTTTTTGAAAACAGGAATAACTCACTTGAAGGTTGCTGGTCCATACCAGGATATGCAACACATTTGGCTGGATGGATTTTAAATAAATTGAATAAATCAGCTAAAAGAACAACTAGATTTTGTTTCATAGATCTGAAAAAAGAAAAACAATTATATTTTAGACATTTTATTCGATTTAAATGTATTCAACTACAGTAGACTCAGAACTCACCTTCGCATATATGTTACATCTTGTGGTGTCATATGAAATACAGAATATGGCAAATGTTTCTGTGAAAAATTACTAACTAAAAGAATATTGAAAATGGAATCTTCAACCGTTGGCATATAATTCAACCGCACACTTGTCCATGGTACAATATTTGGGCAATAATATGAAATTAAATAGGCTAAAGATACGCCATCGCATAGATCAATATAGTCGCGTACAGGTGAAATGTCTGGAGATTGTAATCGCGCACCCTAACGAATTAAAAGAGCCAACTGATTAATAAATTTATTATTGAAATCAAATGGAAAAAATTTACGTTTTCGTTAGTTGCACCATTTTCAGTTTCTTTATCGATGCGTTGCTTTAAAGCCGCACATACATGTGAAAGCCCATAAAGTAGTGCAGTCTCATGATTTTGTACTTCTTTTGGCAATGATCCCCCCGTTATTCTGTTCACAGATATTAAAGTTTGTTTCAAATTTAATTTTACTCGTCATTAAAAATATTAATCAAACTTACCTATTTATTGCTGTTGAAATACGTTCACAACTAGCTACTTCTTTAGCATACAATATCATAAGCGCTTCTATCACAGACATGTGGGCATTCTATATTATATTAACGAATAACAAGCGTAATTTTTCAGAGAAAAAAATTGAAGCTCAGTTAAAAACAATATACGTGTTCTATGCAAAAGTGTGAGAAGAGTGTGAGAAGGGAGTCGAATAAAACTATACGAAGAGTGTGAGAAGAGCGTGTACACTCTTCGAAAAGAGTATTATACTGACTTGGGTTATAATCAATATTAACTTTAATTTGATGATTATATATACATCTTTATAATTTAGTTCATTGCAGAATATAAAAAATGGCATTTTTTGCCACAGAGACGGTTTTTGTTAGTCAAATGAAACACACAATTGCCCCGTGATGACCCAATAATTTTGAACTTTTTTAGAAAACAATTCTTTTTTAACGTACCTGTCTCACATCCGAGGTGTCAGTATCCATTTTATCCATATCATTTATACGAGGGCTGCTCCATATATTTCTAGAATTGGCAATATTTAGTGTTGTCCGATGCAAACCATTGTCATATTCGTTAAGTTTAACATTTGGTAGCATAAACGATCTCAGAACGTTCTGTCATACGCGCGCTATTTGTATTATTTACAGTGACATCTAAATTGCATCTCAACAAAAAAATGAATTTTACTCGTGAAAATTTTCGTGCGATAATTTACTACGACTTTGGATTGGGTGTATCTCAACAACAGTGTTTTGATCAACTTCATTTGGTCTTTGGCGATGAAGCTCCATGCAAGGCCACTGTATATCACTGGTTTACTGAATTCAATCGTGGTCGTCATTCGCTCATCGACGAATTCCGTGAAGGTCGTCCAAAATCGGTTGTTGTTCCAGAAACGATCGATGCTGTCAGAAACATGATAAAACAAGATCGTCATGTCACATACCGTGAGATTGAGGCATCCTTGGGCATTAGTATGAGAAGCATACACACGATTTTGCATGAACATTTGGCCGTAAAAAAGATTTGCTCTCGTTGGATTCCACATAAATTGACCGATGACCAAAAATTAGCTCGTGTGAATTGGTGCAAAGAAATGCTCAACAAATATAACCGCGGTGCATCATATTCCGTCTATAACATCGTCACAGGCGACGAATCGTGGATATATGCGTACGAGCCCGAAACTAAACAGCAGTCAACAGTAACAGTATGGGTCTTACAAAGTGAAGATAACCCAAGAAAAGTTGATCGAGCAAGAAGCACTTCGAAGCAAATGGTCGCCTGTTTTTTCGAGAGAAATGGTCATGTGGCAACAGTTCCACTGGAAGATCGTAAGGCCGTCAATTCTGATTGGTATACCACCATTTGTTTGCCGGAAGTGATTGGTGAAATAAGAAAAAACAACCGCCGTCGCAGAATAATTCTTCATCATAATAATGCGAGCTCTCACACATCTCATCACACAACTCAATTTTTGACCAGTCAAAACATCGAACTGATGGGTCATCCGCCGTACAGTCCTGATTTGGCACCCAACGATTTCTTTTTGTTCCCAAGCGTGAAGAATAAACTGCGTGGTCAACGATTTTCGACGCCAGAAGAAGCAGTTGATGCGTTCAAAACACACGTTTTGGAGATATCGGTTTCGGAGTGGCTATGCTACGGCAAGTGGTTCGAGCGTATGCAAAAGTGTATCGAACATCATGGCGAATACTTTGAAAAACAATAAAGCCATTTTTGATAAAAAACGATTGCGATGTATATGCTTTTCTAGAAATATATGGAGCAGCCTACGTATATGTGAATCATGATTAAATTTTGAAAAGTTTTTCTTTTTTTGTTATTAAAATTCCTTTTTTAGATTTTTTGTTTTTAACATTTGCACACCATTTTCTTTTTCAATTTATTTTTTAGTTATGAATTCCACATAGATTTATTTGCACAAATTTGCGTAGTAAAAAATTGACTAAAGAAAAAAACGAGCAAAAGATATATACATGAATGAATATGCTTCACCGAACTTAATAATTCGAATTGAAACACCCTCATCGCCGGAGAATGAAAGGTTTTTTATTTATAATATTCTTCTCAACCAAATTTCAACATCGTTTTTCTTCGGTTGTCTTTTCTCATATTTTATTCCACAGTGGTTTTGCATCAAATGCTGAAATTCGACGACGAAAACGACAGAAACGCAATGAAGATGTCGAGGCCAATATTAAGGACATTAAGAGGAAGCAAAAGGAGACGGAGGCTGCTGCTGAAGCAGCACCAAAAAAACGCAGGTGTCTCATGATTTTCTCTGGTGTTGTTTTTTGCGTTATATGATGTGCATACGTTTACTCGAAACTCGGTTAACTAAAAAGAAACATTTCTATTTTCATATTCTTATTACAATTTTTTGCAGAAAATATAACGAGCTAATTATTCAGCACAACTAACGTAAAAATAGCCAGCTATTTGGTCCATTTCGATTTTGTGACATTTATTAAATGCTAACACTGCCAAGTCATTATTTGGATATCTGAATTTGAAAGTATATTTCATTATTTTAGATGTTTAAACTCACAGATTTAATTGTTTCGACAGTATCGCTATTTTATAAATGTCAGTTGTCTATTTTTATATCAGTTGAGCTGAATAGTTGTTCATTGTATTGTCTAATTGTTTGTATCTCAAATGCAATTCACACCGTGTTCTGTGTTTATCCAAGTGCACTCCTATTCCCAAAATTGTCACTCACAACATTTCGTATCATCTCTTTTTTTGTTTTTAATTTATGAAAGAATTTACGTAAAAATACAATTTTCTTATAAACTAAGGAGCACAGGAACCTAAATGCAAAAATTATTTGTATTATATGAAGAAATTAGGGGCTCAAAAGTATTTTTATTTGCGTTTAACCACACACATTTTAGCTAGTGAACAATATTTGTAAACATACATAACTTACTGTAAATATTCGTGATTATCGTAAATATGCAGCAATTTGAATGGCGGTGAATGGTGTTAGCTATTTAGTGGAGTGGATTATTAGTTTATTGCCCAAATTAATTTTTAATCAAATAAGTATCACTTTTATAGCCCGAAATTTATTCCCTCATTCCCTAATCAACAATTATTAATTTTATTTTGAGCTATGTATGTTTCACATCGCTGTTGTATAAAAATTCGGGAATCACATGTTATCTCTATAATCACAAATAATCACGTAAATGTGGGAGAATTAGCTGTTATACAGTCAATTCATAAAAAACTGTATTTATTTGAAGTTTATTTTTCAAGTTCCAAGCTCCTAGATACTTTATTTAAACTTTTTTTTTTTAATCGACAAGGCCGGAATTTTGATGATTTTCTTTTTAAAAATCGATATCAAAACAGCAATTTCTCCTTTAAAAAAAAAAGAAACTTGATCTTTGAAAATGTATTTCTCAGAAGTGATCAATCAAATCAATTATTTTTATTAAACATTTTTTTCCTAAAGAACCCTCTTTTGGTTTTTCTCTTAAAAAATCAAATAGATGTGCAATCAAATAGATGTGCAAATGAATTCCCAACGTCAAAAATGAATGATTGAATACATATTAAGTAATTAGAAAAAGAACTCCCACATATAGATATTTTTAAAGCCAAACAAATTCCTTGAAATATTTATATAACCAGGTAAATGCCACAGACTGATAAGCAATTAAATTTTGAATAAGAGAAAAAGAACTAAACTATGCAATATTTTTATATGAAAAGCTTTTTGTATGTCTGAACATTTGAATTACATGGCGTAGCGTTTTATTGTAGGACAATAATCTCAACGTTTTAAAAGCAAGAAAAAAGAATCGAAACGGAATAAACTTAACAAAAACAATATGCATTCAAATTTAAGCATCTATAATTTACAAAGGAAAACATTGATCATTTATTTTATTTTGTTCATTCAGCTCCGTTCTTTCCAAAAAAATCTTCTTTTCGTTATTGATAGTATAACGCGTAGTTGATCCTTTTAAAAATATTTTTTTAGAAATTTTGTATAGTAAATTGGTGAAGTAATAACACAAAAAATGTTAAGTGAACATCTTTTGAACAAAACTTGTAGTTTTAAAGTTCTAACAGACATGAAAGAAATCTCCAATGAGAGAAACAGAAAAAAAGAAATTTGTATGCATATTTTATGAGAATTTAGAAGGCATTTTTAGCTAAAAGTTTTCTTAGCAAATAAACAACATAATTATATATATTAAAACGAAAACGATGCATGTAACGAAATCTCAAAAGCCACTCTTAGAAAACTCAGATGTTAAAATTCAAAGTACTCAAAGCAAAATGCCAT